GGGTACACAGGTGCTCATTTTACCTTTTTTTTTTAACTGTGCATATGTTTTATGACATCTTTTGTAGGTGTGATATAATTTACAATTTAAACCAAAAACTAAAGTTTGAATAAATAATTAAAAGAATTATCTGGGGAACTTGTTAAGAAGGCAGATTCCTAGCTCCCCTGCAAGTCTGATTCAGGAGAGCTGGTCAAGACTGGGGAATCCACATTTTTAGAGGATGCTGATGCAGGTGCTCAAGACCACACCTTGAGATGCCTGCCTGGATTCAGAACATCACAAGCTCTGGCATCAGACTAACAGGATTCAAACCCCAGCTCAGTCCACTCCTGGCTGCGTGACATCAGGCATGTTCTCTTCACCCGTAAAAGGAGGAGGATAAACTTCGTGCCTATGATCTATGAAGCAGGCAACACATGTTGGCTAAAATAATAATAATAATTATTATTGCCTCTAGTGGAATAAGAGTGTTTTACTCAGACACATAGTTTCTATTAAGCTGTCTCTATACCGGTGAATTTTCCAAATGATTTTTCACTTAGGAAAGAGGGACCATTATTGCTTAAAAAAAAAAAAACTTTTTCATAAGACTTATACTTTTCATATCCTTTAGCGAAATGTGAGAATCTAAGGTAATAACCCTAAACAGAGAAGTGATATATAACAGCAAAACATTAAACAACTTATATAGCCAACAACAGAGGTAAGGTTACATAAACTGTAAACTATATTCATAGAATGGAATATTTATCATGAGACCATTAAATACAAATTTATAAAAACTTATAAAAGTCATTTTGTAATGTTAAATGAAAAAAATAGCCAAGCAGAGAATGTAGCTACCATATGATCAAAATTATGTATACAAACAAGTAAATCATTGTTTCCAGGACCTCATGCGTGCTGAGCATGCGCTCTACCACATTCCTCCATAATGGAAGAGGGGGAGGGTTTAGCTCAAGTGGTAAAACTAGCTATACCCCACCCCCCAAAATCTCCATCCTAGAAAACAATGGAAGAAAATTAGCCAAAATGTAGTTCAAACACAGAGTGTCTCTAGGGTGAGAGATGGGAGATTTTTTCTTAATTTTTACTTTTCTGTATTTTCCAAATGTTCTATACTGGGAATGGGAGGGAAGGGGGTGGAAATCCTCACTTTTTAAAAGTATATTCTTTTGTTATGGTTCCATCTAAACTAATACGGGGTCTGCCCATTAGTATTTAGGATTCACAAAAGAGTGACATTTCCATACACAGGCAGGCTACTGGAGCAGAAGGGAAGCTTTAGAGATATTGTCCAACTGTCCCATGTGACAGATGAGGAAACTGAGGCCCAGGGAGATGAACTGACAAGCACAACAGACTCGGTTAGATGTGTAAGGGCCTGAGCCCGATTCCAGGCCTCACAGTGTCGTCTTTTCACTTCATCACACCCCCACCCCCCCAATCTTCACAATCCAGACTCCCCAAAACCTCAGCATTCCTACTGAAATGTGGCCTCTGAACCACCAGCATCAGCATCACTGGATCAGTTATTAGAAATATATTCATACTGTATAGCACAGGGAACTATATTCAATATCTTATAGTAACTTACGGCGAAAAAGAATATGAAAATAAATATATGTGTGTTCATGTATGACTGAAGCATTATGCTGTGCACCAGAAACTGACACAACATTGTGAACTGACTATACGTCAATAAATATATATTTAAAAAAAGAAAGAAAGAAAGAAATGCAGACTCTTAGGCCTCTCCCCTGAAAAGAGGAATCAGAATCTGCACTTTATCAACATCTCCAGGGCAAGTTTTCCAGAGAAATAACAAAATAAAAGGAATTCTCTCTTTGGTGGTTTAGACTGATGGTAACTTGGATGACCAAGTTAAAACAAAGTGATCTCAGTCCCAGAGTTGGCTTTGGAACATCAAGCCTGTTCCTCCACCTCTCTTTGTCTTGGTTTTCCTCATCTGTAAAATGGAGATGATAAATTCAGCATGGTGCCTAGTAAGTGCAGAGATGGAGGCTCGGGTGCAGTAAGCCACTATAAATAGAGCTAATAAATTCTTGTTAGGCATGTTTCAACAGGCCTGGTCCTCCAGGAGAGCTAAGGCTTCTGACATAGTGCTTAGCAGTGAGCCCTCAGCTAGTACGTGTTTAATAAATAGCAAGAGCATACATGACATCTATTAATTTTTGACTTGGAATGTTTCATTCTATCAATACATAACATTCAAAAATGCCAGTTTTTCTCCCTTCCAACGTTCAAAACTGCCCACTCCCAAATTCACCAGTTAGGAAGGGGGGAGACTGGAGGTCATAACTAAGCTTAACTCATACTGTGTAAATCGTTCATGCTAGACTTTCTCGGATTACAGACTCTGGGCTCAACCATCCATCCTAACACCTGCAATATGTTGTTACTCCGCCCACTGTTCTCCCTAAGCCACGCCCACGGGCCCGCCCCTCCTACCAAGCCCCACCCTCTTCCCAAGACCCCGCCCCCAAAGGCCCGTCAGCCTTCTGGTCGCACCTCACGCCTCCGCCCAGCCCAGCGGGCCCGGCCTCTTCACTGGCTTCCGCACGCCAAGCGGGTCCCGAGTCGGGATCCCGCGCGCGGCGGCGCGAGGAACGGAGGAAGGCCTGAGGCTGCGCCCCCGGAGCCGCGCCACCAACACATGCGAGGTAGGGCCAGAGGGGCGGCGGGGCAGAGGCCCTGTTCCCTGAGCTCGAGAGAGGGGCGGG